TGAATTTGGGTAAACCCTGGCTTCTGGTTAGAAAAAGTACAGAAAAAATTTTCCAACACTTCCCAATGCCATTCTAGATAAGAGTGATTTACTTCCAGATCACTTTAATGTGAGAAGGCTGTTCTTAAGCTCTCATCCTTATCCAGAGTCTTCTAGAATCCTTATCTTGACCAAGCCCTGGAATTTCTATGCCTGTTCCCTGTACTCATATCTGTCAAAGCAGAAACTCAGAGTCACCAGCAACAAAACATACTTTCAGTACAGAAGCCAGCTGAATACTTGTTTACTTCTTTACATTCCTGGTTCCATTTCATATTTAGCCCACAACTATACATTTTTAGTTCCATTTCTTTTGTATCCATTCAACTATACATACACAAATATATATAAATATATATATATGTTATAGTATTAGTTTTTTAGCAGAAATGATTATTTAGAACATTCAAAAATCTATAGCCTAATTTTTGTTTGAATTACAAGTTTTAGATAGAACTATATTAAAATCTCTATGATTGTAGACTTGCAATTCTTTACAATTGTTTTTGCTTTGCATATTTCAAGGCTATGTTTAAAATACATAACAGGTCATGATTATATCTTCCTGGTAGATTATTTATTTAATTAATATATACACTTGCACTTTATCACTATTAAAGCCTTTTTCATCTGTCAACACTAATAATCACGACTTTTCTTTTTTTCTTTCTCATTTTATTACCAGTATCTCTAAAAAGAATATGTAGACAATTTTATTTTTTATTGAAATTACGGTGTCTTTTAATAAGGATGGCCAAATCTTAAATTTATTGTGAACTACTCACATGTAGGATTTTCTTTTTGCTATTTATCACCTCTTTATTGTGCTTTAATATTTTAAAAACTTTATTAAGCTTTCCTATCTTCTACTTAACTGATTAGGTTTTCAATATAGCATTCACACCTCTCCTTTTGTTGGTTTGAAAGCTATATATTTCCATTATTTTATTTACCTTTTTTTTTTATTTACCTAGTTATATACTGATCTAAAAGCATCCAAAACTACTTATATTTCTATCTTTTTCCTAAATATGTGGATCTTAACATATTATATCTTCCCACTGAACAAATCTCTCCCATATATTCAACCAATTTGTTGTTACTGTCTAGCGCTACCTGCCAATTCCACAGCCATTAGCCACATGTAGCCTTTGTTGTTATCTTGTTAGCATATGTTTGTGATACATTAGCACATACAGGTATTACACTCTGGGTTCCTGATCTGTGGATGATATGACTTGAGATGTGCTCTAAGTGTAAAACACACAATGAATGAGTCTTACAGATTTTGCCTAAGCAAGTGAAAGTAAGATATATTGATAATTTTTATACTGATTACATACTGAAATACTATTTGTGTGTATGTCTTATGCTCTGGGTGAATGACTGGGGAATCCAATGCGCAGTGTTATGTATCATTGTTGCCCGATTATTGTGCTTTGAAATTTTGGTGTAGTTTTTTTTTTCCCTCGTCTTCTTTTTTCTTTCTATCCTTGGAATCAAATGGATTTGGAAAAAAAAAATTGACTAGAATGTGCAGAAAAAATGAAATACTATTTTGGAAATACTCAAGTAAAATACATTTTTTGTTTTTTTGACAAACCTGAGTGCTGGGATTACAGGCGTGGGCCACTATACTTGGTCGATAAAATAACTATTAAATTACTATTGTCTATTTCTTTTTAAATCTGACTACTACAAAATTAAAACTCCATATGTGGCTAATATTCCATTTCTATTGGCTGATATTAATCTAAAGGTTTAATTTTTGTTGTTTGCTTTTTGGGATGTCAGGGATCAAACCCAGTATTTTATATCTTCTGAACACACACTGTATCATGACTGTATTCCCAGCCCTGTACTTTCCTGTTTTTTCTTTCTTTCTTTCTTTTCAAATAGGGTCTTAATGTGATGCCTAGGCTGGTCTTGAACTTAGGGCTCAAGTGATCTCTTGCCTCAGCCTCTCAAGAAACTGGGATGATAATCCTATGCTACTATGCCTGCTTAGTTTTAGTTTCAACTTTGTAAAAACCCCTCTAAATAGGGCCAGGAATATAGCTCAGCAGCTTAAGTGCCTGCCTGGCAAGTGTGAGATCCTGAGTTTGATTCTTGGTACCAAAAAAAAAAAAAAGCAAGCCCTCTAAATTATATTATTTATGCTACTGATAACATGTGACATTTTATCTAATTAAAATTCTCCAATCTTGACAGTTTTCCCAGCTGTGCATGAAGTACACATCTGTAATCCCAGCACGCAGGAGGTAGAAGTATGAGGACCACAAGTTTGAGGCCAGCTTGGTCTACACAGTGAGTTCACAGCCAGCCTAAACTATATGGCAAAACCATGCCTTTAAAAAAAAAAAAAAGGTTTACCTGGTTATAATATCAATGACATTAATATTATTCCATTTTTCTCCTGGTATCAACTGTTACTGATAAGAAATCTGTTAGTTTAATCATCACAATTCTATACGTAATTTGGCTTCTCATTTTACGGGCTTGTAAGATTTGCTCCTGATCTTTGATATTCTGAAGTTTTACCATGAACTGTCTAGATTTTTGATCTTTACTTAACTTTTGGTTTAAGGACTCTGGCCTCAATACTGCAAATTCTAAGCCACTATAAAATTAGTTCTCCTCCAATTTCTGTTCTGCAACTTGTCCTCTTCTGTAACTTTTTATATAAAGTCTCAGTTAATTTTTCATCTTTTAACTATTCATATTTATCATTTTTTCCTGTATTTTGGTTGAATTTTTTAGTACTGTTTTGCAAATCACTAGTTCATCTGCAGTGGTATAAAAAGTAAAGCTTATCTCATCTACTAAGTTTTTTATTTTGGTGCTGAAGATTGAACACAGGTCCTCAAACATGCTCAGCATGTAGTCTATCTCTGAGCTATACCTAAAAAACTGGCCTATTCCCCTTCCAGTTCTACCACCCTACCCCACTGGTCACTGCAGTGCTGGGGATCAAATCAAAGGAAGCAAGCTATGTCCTCAACTTCCCTTTTTTCCCCTGGGATTTTAATACACTAACTATAGTTTTAATTTCCAAGTGTCCTACTTGATTCTTTACCATATTAACCTGTTCCTTTTATTCCTGTTCTTCACTATATTAATCTGGTTTACCTCTCTTGTTTTATAATGTTGAGTTCTCTTTAATTGGAAAGCATCCTTATTTCTTTGAGCATCCTAAAAAGGCTTAAATGTGTCTCCCAATCAATGGAATACTATGCAGCCGTTAAAAGAATGAGATTCTTCTATGAAGATTAATATGGAATGATCTCTAAATATGTTTAGTGAAAAACGCAAGGCATATAGTATGTGGAGAATGCTACCATTTATATAAAAGTATATGTGTGTGTATATGTTTATACATGCATAAACTATCTCAGAAAAAATATCAAGAAATTGGTAATAGTGGTTACCTCTGGGGAGAGAAACTGGGTGGCTAGGCGACAGAGGTGAAAATAGACTTACTTTTCACTGTTTACCCTTTTGTACCTTTGAATTTTGTACCACGTGCATGTATTACCTAGTCAAAGAAAAAAATAAATAATTTATTTTCAAAAATAAAGTCTTTGTTGGACTACTCCATAAAATTAATTTTATCCAGAAAAATGCTGTCTGGTAGTTGATATATTAATATTAGATATTTTAACTTTTTTTTCTTTCTTCCTATTTGATGGTTTTAGAGTTGTTTGGTCAACTGGGCCCGTGGCTAACAATCAGGATTCATAATGAGACTTCAGGGCTCCAGTTTCTTGATGACATTGGAAATACCACACATACATATTTGGTCACTGATTCAGCAAGTGGCTTCATTTAATTCCTATTAATGTCTGTTGTGTCTTAAGTCAGCTAAATACCTATAATTTCCAGTAGTAAAGAGTGTTTTTGTTGTTGTTGTTCTTCAGTCTTTCACAAAAGAGACACACATTTCCATTGAAGCCCTGGCTTCATGTAGTTCTGGCTCTGGTTCCTACCTCACATGAAATACTTTAGGATTTTTCCAATCCCTTAACCTGAAGGAATAAATGTGCTCAATGTCAGAGTTAAGACTAAAAACCTAGTAGGTCTGTGATGTCAGCCCTGCTCAGAGTTCTGTGTCTGTGTTCCATTTCTGTCCCACACAGATGATTATACTGTTCAGAACCTGACTATATTTTATGTGTTTATTTATTGTTTTATGTGTTTGGACCAAAGTGATTATATCACCGCTCAGTGTTACCTTAATTAGAATTTCCACGGTTCTTCTTTTAGAATTTTAATATAAAAGTAACATAATCTCATTTCAAAATGTTTAGAAAATTAATGATAATCCACCATTCTGACTACTCTTAGTAACTAAAATATTCTTTTAATCTTTCTTTTGTTTCACATTTGTATAATTTTTATCATGATTTTAACCTATAGTATCTCAAGTATTTGTCTATTTTGCTATGTAGTCTTTATGACCACCATTTTAATGACTGCATATTAATCCATCAAACTGTTCAACTATAATTTACTTCCCACATTATCGACAATTTAAAGAGCTTCCAACAATGCTAAAAAGATATTCTCTCTGCATGTGTTTTTTCCTCCAAGAAGTCTGAACTCAGTAGGTGGTAGTGTAGTGGTGAGAAATGTTGGGCAACAAAACTGTCATAATTCTACGAAGATCTTTTTAGAACAAAAGCATTACAAGGCTAGCATAATACTAGGCTGGGGTTCATAATGATGACCTTGATATACCAAGAGGAAGGAAAAAATTACATGTAAGTAACAATGTATTTCTCTCAGAAAGATTCCAATTCAAAACGGTTAACAGTAAATTTTGTAAGTAAAGGAATACAATAAATATTACAAGGAATTAGAATCACAATTCATATATGTGAATCATGAAGCACTGCTGAACATATTTAATTTCCAAATAGAATACTGAGTAATAAAGTTCACTTTTGTTGTATAATACTAACCTGATATTATTTACACAGTCTTCATGAGCTTCAGAAAGTGTTTTTATGTGCTTTGAAGATATAGGGTCAAAAAGCAGAACTTCAGTCTGTTCACAAGCAACTGTCAGTACTGACCTGAAAACAAAGAACACATTACTGTTTAGTTTCCTAGCATTCTCTGGTTACTGATATTCATTTATTTATAATCACATAAACTAAAGATGAACTTTTCTGCTTATGTTTGTAGCAAATATTTAAAAGATGGGTATTATCCACTGTTACTAAGAATACTACTAACTGGTATTCTGTCTCATACACAGGATGAGATATAGACTGGAATAGCTTGTTTAGCCCCTACAACTAAAGTATCTATCAGAAATTTAAATGTGTACATCTTTTGACCCAGCAATATCTTCTGGGATATAATCAAGAGAAATCATCTATTAATGCAAAGTACATATAAAGATTAGCAAGACCTTGTCTCAAATTTAAAAATTTTTAAAAGATGGGGGAGGACTAGGGATGTAACTCAGTGTAATAATGCTGAGTTTGATCTCTAGTTGGAATAGAAAAAGGGAAAAAGTACCTAAAACAGAATCCCCCCCACCCCAGGGGAGGAGGGGGAGGCCGAGGCCGAGGCTGAGATCGAGGCAGAGAGAGGGACAGCAAGGTCAGGTCAATGGCGGTTCCGGGATCAGAGGCCCAGGGGCCCGGGACTGGAGCAAGGGACCCGCGCTAGGGCCGGATAAATGCGGGAACCAGGAGAGAGACTGACCCCGGCGGCGCGGTAGGGTAGGGCAGCCGGGGAGTAGGAGTGGTGAGCGAGGAGGCAGGCACCAAAGGGAACGAGGGGGGCTGGGAAGCCATAGCGGAGGCGCTCCCTTACAAGCCTTTCCCTCCCTCTCCCCGTTTTTTGTTTTGTTTCGTTTCGTTTTTGTTCTTGTGTCTTTCTAGGACACATTCAGGCGCGCCCTAAGACAGAATTTTAAGCAAATTTTTTGATAAAGTGGGAGATGGAAAAAAACCTACATTAAAATCTTTTCCGTATTTAGTAACCTTATAAGTATGCTTTAAAGTGTATCAGCATAAATCTTTCTTTGAAATATCTGGACTTCAAAGTTTAATAATACTGAAAGATTCTGCCATGGTTTGAAGGTAGGGTCTCCAAATTGTATTCCCTGGAAACTTGGTCCTCAGTGAAGCAGTGTTTAGAGGTGGGCTCTTTGGGTGGTAATGGATCATAAAGGCTTTGCTTTTACAAACAGGTGAATCTCCTCATGGATTAGCAGATCAATGGGTTACTATGGGAGTGGCTTTGTTATAAAGTGAGCTCTCTCCAGCTTCCTTGCTTTGTCTCACAATGTGCAGACCTCCAACACGTTATGATGCATTAAGAAAGCTCTCACCACAGTGCCTTGCTCCTGGACTTCTTCCTAATACTAGAATATAGCCAGTCTGCAGTATTCAGTTATACCAAGAGACAACAGACTAAGACAAAGTTTTGTATTGATTGACCATTATTAGTATAAATATTCAAGTTAATATGTGTAATTCTAGAAGATATAAAATAGATATAGAAATAGCACTTCTTACTTTGGGAAGGCTTGGGACAGAAGGATTTCAAATTTTTAGTTCAGCCTGGGCAACTCAGTAACTTAGGGAGACTATTTCAAATCAAAAAAATTTTAAAAGGATTAGAGATGTAGCTCAGTGAGAAGATCTTGGATTCAATTCCCAGGGCAAAGAGGAGTTAGAGAGATGGAATGAATGAATGGATGGATGGATGAGAGAGAAACCACTTCTTTTTGTTAGACAAAAGAGCCATGGAATGAACTTTTTTCTTTAAAGTAATATTCTGAGTTCTAAAATACTGTAAATAAAAATTCTACTAAAATTTTTAAGAGTTGTTTTATTTTAATCCAATTATAATATGTGTGTGTGTGTTACTAAGGATTGAACCCAGGTCCTACATTCCCCAGACTCCTTCCCCTCATTTGAGACAGGGTCTTACTAAATTGCCTAGGCTGAAATTAAATTTGTAATACTTTTGCCTCAGTCTCTTACACAAGCATGTGCCACCATGCCTAGCTATACTTTTAAACGTGTGACATGTAATTTTAATATGATGTAATTTGCTTTAATATCTGTTTTCTCATTGACTTGTAATACTTTTACAATACACAGGATTTTAGATTCTATGCAACACCACACCATCTTACTTTCTAAAAGGTTTACAGTATTTTGCTATATGTAAAAGCAAGAATCTTTCATTGCTTTGGCTAAACCAAGTTTTAGCATTTAGAATGAATTTTTAATAAAGCATGTAGTGTAGGAATTTTTAATGGGATGAAGTGACTTTACCAATTAGGCTTTTTTATTTTTTGAGGGTTTCATTATGTAATTCACTTAGGCTAGCATTGGAGGTCATTGTGTACCTGAGGCTGGCCTCGAATTTGCAGCAATCTTACTGCCTCAGCCTCCCAAGGGCTGGGATTACAGGTATACAACACCATGCTGGGCTTAATCATGCATATTTTCCCAGTGATAGGAATCAAATCTAGCATCACAGGCCTGGGTAGAATTATCATACATACAATATTGAATGGTCTCATACATTCCTTCCCACATATTCAAGATGTTCTTTTTCTTTTTTTTTTTTTTTTTTTTTTTTTGGTACCAGGGATTGAACTCACGACCTTGCGATTGAAAGGCAGGCACTTATGCCACTGAGCTAAATCCCCGGCCCCAAGATGTTCTTATCAAAGAATATCTTGGCAGTTTTTGGACATTTGAGCATCCTTATATACTGAAATTCAAATTTTCAAATTATGTACATATCCACAAACACTTGTTATAGATTTTAAATAATATGTTAATTCTATAGAAAAGTTTGAATAGAATTGACATTTTTACAATAGAGTCTCAATAAATATAGATTAATCCTTTCTAATTACTTAAGTCTTTTGTAATCATCCCAATAAATTTGTATAGTTTTTTCCTTTTTGAGTATAACTGATAAAATTATGTATTTAAGGCATACAACACATTTTGAGATTTTATGTATATATAAAATGTATTTTGTGAAATGATTATAATCAAGCTAATTGACATATCAGCTCATACATAGAGCAATTCTTATTTTCCTCTGCTTAGAAACATATTGTAATAGTACAAGTCAAAGAAACTCTCTCAAGCAAAAAGAAAAATGTGCTCAGCAACTCATTCCCAGAGATAGATTAAAGTAGTTAATATCATTCTAGACCATGTCTTGATATCTCTATACATTAATGCATTTCTGAAAATAAAAAAATGGCAATGCCAAATATACCGTTTTTTCCAAATCCATTTTATTTCAAGGAGAAAAAAATGAAATAATAACCAAAATACTCAGTGATTTTATACTTAAAAAGCCAAATATACCATTTTGTAACCTGCTTCATTTAATGGAGTGGATACCTTTCCACCTCAATAAATTCATGTCAGCATCAATTATCTCTTAATGACATAATTGCTAACTCTTTTTTTCCATTCCCCCATTACCATCCCTTATATCCCACATACCAATCCTCTTGTCTAATACTGGTCTCCCTTCTACTTTTATGCCAAATCTTGTTTTAGAATCTATGTATTAGGGAAAACATGTAATACTTGCCTTCTGAGTCTAGTTTATTTAATATGATGGTCCCCAATTCTATCCATTTTCCTGCAAATGACATAATTTTCTTCTATTTTTGGCAAATTATGTGTGTGTGTGTGTGTATATATATATATATATATATATATATATATATATTTTCTTTATCCAGTCATCTGTTGATGGGCATCTAGACTGGTCTATATCTTGGCTACTGTTAATTGTGCCACTAAAAATATGACTATGCATTCCTACAATATGCATAATTTCTTAGGAAATATACTAAGGAGTGGTATAGCTGGGTTATATGATAGTGTAATCCCTTTTCTAATCTTCCTCACAATCCAGAAAGTTTTATTTGTAATCCCATTGAGACGTTACTGGAATCTTGACAAGTTGATTTCAATCTACCACCTCCAATGTGACCTATGGTGAGAGTAAAGACACCAAGACATATTCAAAGGTAAGGAAGGGCAGCTAAGGGGTCCTAAACCCAACCCCAGTGATGATATGCAGACAAAGGACTTGATCCAAGGCCTCTTTCAGAATTTATTACCTTGTCTAGAAGGGGGTGGGCTCGAGAATGAGTAACAGGAAGGATAATGGGAACTAAGTAACTTGAGCTGTCTAGCCAGGTAGGGCGGAAAGCATATTTGCAATATGCAAGGAGATGAGCAGAAAGACCAGTCTGCATAACTTGATTGGGATAGTATGTGAATGAATTTAGGAGGCTGTTGCTGCAGTTTCTGATATGTAAACCTTTATACCCAGGGACTCACAGCCTCTTACTTTGAGGCTCGTACCCAGTTGACATTTCTGGAGCTGCCATTTACTGCACTTGGATCTTTTACAGAGAGCACTATGCAAGGAAACAGAAGACTGTCAGACTAACTTTAAAGATTATATAACAGTACTTCAGCTGGCCTTATTTGCATTGCTTAGAGCCAATTTAAGAAAGAAAGAAATACCATAGCCAGCTCTGTATATATCAGTGTATGGAATAAGACTTAATTTAACTAATGTTGCAGCAATTGTTCTGCATTCAAGGAGGGGCACCCATGTTGTCTTCTACAATATGATAGCTCCATTTTCATGTTTTTGTTATTTCTTTTTTTTTTAGAAATTGCTATACTGATTTCCATTATGGCTATACTAATTTCCATTCCCAACAGCTGCATGCCTTTTCTCTGCATCCTCACCAGTATTTATTGTCTATATTCCTGATGACAGCCATTTTGAGTTATTCATTTCCCTAATGGTTAAAGATGTTGAACATTTTATATATATATTTATGGGTCTTTTGTACTTACTTTGAGAAATGTCTTTTCAATTCATTTGTCCATTTATTGCTATTTGACTTTTTGGAGGTTTTAATTTTTTTAGTTCTTTATATATTCTAAATATTAAGCCTCTATCAGAGAGTAGCTAGCAAAGATTTCCCATTTTGTGGGCCATGTCTATACACTGTTGATTGTTTCTCTTGCTGTGCAGAAATTTAAAT